AAATTCATAACTCGGGAATGAGAAAAGCTAGAAAGTTGAAACTTTGGAGGAATGTTCCCTACTCATTTACGCCCAAAAGTTTTCAAACTCAGCTCCTTAGGACAGCCCGGGGCTCACGTACGGGTACATGAAAATTTTTGGCGCGAAAATTACTAACCCGGGGACGGGAAAAGCTAGAAAGCTGAGACTTTAGGGGGATGTCTCCTACATGAACTACCAAGATTAGATGTTCAGAAGCGTCCGGGGCCCACGTACGAGCACGTGGAAATTTTGGCGCGAAAATTACAAACTCGGGAGCAGTAATAGCTAGAAAGCTGAAACTTTAAGAGAATGTTCCCTACTCATGTACGACCAAAATCAGGTGTTTAGGAGCGCCCGGGGCTTACATACGGGCGCGTGGAAATTTTGGCACGAAAATTACTAACCCGGGAGCAGTAAAAGCTAGAAAGCTGAAACTTTAAGGAAATGTCCCCTACTCATGTGAGCAAAATCAGATGTTTAGAAGCATCCGGGGCTCACGTACGGCACGTGGGAATTTTGGCGCGAAAATCACTAACCCGGGAACGAGAAAAGCTGGAGAGCTGAAATTTTACGGGAATGTTCTCTACTTATGTAGAAACAAAATCAGTCGTTTAGAAACACTCGAAACCCAAGTAAGCCACATGTGAGAGTTTTGGCGCGGAAATTACTAACCCGGGAAAGGGAAAAGCTAGAAAGCTGAAACATTATAGGAACGTTCCCCACTCACGTACGAGCAAAATCAGGTGTTTAAAAGCGCCCAGGCCCAATACAAGTGCGTGGAGATTTTGGCGCGGAAATCACTAACCCAGGAAGGAAAAAAGCTAGAAAGCTGAAACTTTAGGGTTATGATCCTTACCTATGTTTGACCAAAAAATTTTAAATTCAGCTCCTTAAAACCGTCTGGTACTCACGTACAGACATGTGAAAATTTTGATGGGAAATCTGCTAACTCGGGAACGGGAAAAGCTGAAGGCTTTATTTTTAAGGGTATGTTCCCTGCCCATGAGCGACTAGAAAATTTTAAATTTAACTCTTCTAGCGGGGCCTTTTTTGCGGACTAGCAACTTTCCATTTGTCGGGTCACTGAAGTCGACACCTACAGCTGACATACCACATAGTTACACGATTAACTTCCCGAACTTCGAGGGCCTGTATTTCACAGGGTTAGCTACTTTGATTCCTTGCGATCTTGCTACGGCACGAGAAGTGCAAAAATGCATAATCGCACTGACCAGCCTGGTGCGTTCCAGCCTGGGTTTGACAAACGACCGCTCGAGCAATACTTCCACTTTTTAATGAAATGGAAATCTGCATTTTTTCAAAAAATTTATTATCATTTTTTCACAAAGCGAGCATTTACCGAAAAAACGACCGGACTTCGTGCAAAAAACCGGTAATCATGCACCTGGATGTCCGTGCGACTCTATAATGCACCACCTTCATTCCAACTGATGCCCTTCCTCCTGCATGCCGGTAAGGATCAAAGCACGGCCAATATTAGCCGAATTGTTAGGCTACAGCGTAGGGATCATTCCTGCTAATAGTGATTTGCGAGTTTAGTACAAAAATGCATGATCGCACCGGAGAGCCTGGTGCGTTCCAGCCTGAGTCAGATAAGGTCTCAACCTTTTCTCACGGCTACATGTAGGGAATTTTACCTCCAAGCAGAATTATGGTTGCATTTGAAAATAGAATGTCTCAGCAAAGTTTCAGCTCCGTAGCTTATCCGGTAAGCGAAATATCTGCTTCGTTACAAATATCTTTGAAGTGTCGTAAGTTGTGACGCAAGTGCAAATCGGCACTTATTTTAAGCACACGATTTCCAATCTGGGCGACAAACATTCTGACAAAATTTCAGCCACTGCTTCCTGGCTAGTTTTCGAGTTAAGACAGTGCCAAGTGCAAACTTTGACGTGGTCGTACGCGCTGCACAAGCATGCGTAATAGCTGAATTTTAAACCTCTGGCTCGCGCATGCACAAAATATCCCTGCAAATTTTCAGCTCTGCACTTTGTTTGATTCGCGAGATCGCTTTCCGCCAAAGGAATGTTTGAACCTTTTTTCGGGGGTCCATACTCGGGATCTGGGCGCGTGTGAGGGAAAGTCTTAAAACGGTAGGATGACACACGAGGTAGGAATATACCCAAAATTTCTGCCTCCCAGCTTTCCTGGTTGCTGGGATGAAAATGAGCGACAAAATGCACTCGCTACCGAAAACACACACACGCAGACGATCTCTTAACAATATACGTTTTTGATGGCTGTAGCAGCGCTATAGCACGATGCGCTTGCAAGTCAGTCCCGTGATTAAGCGAAAAGAGGCAAAAAACAGATTCCCTTTTTTGAAGACCTACTACTGCTCCTCACTTTAAGGAAGAAATATCAATATTCCAACTGTTTAATTTTTATGCGTTTTGCATATGTGC